ATCTCGGCTCCTTTAAATACAGGGTTAATCAAAAAGAATAAACCGATTTTATTACGCAATATTTTATTAAAGGAAAGGAATACAAAACTCCAGGCAAGTCACAAGTAGTCTACTCACAACAACTTTTATTTCCTGTCTTACAAGTGTTCAATGTGGCCACCACCTGCAGCACAGGAAACATCAACGCGATAAGAGAATTCCTCCCAGGCGCGTATCAGCATATCACGATGCACTGAGTTAATCGCTGTTGTTATTCGATGTTTAAGGTCATCGAGGTTAGTGGGTAGCGGTGGAACATAAACGTGATCTTTTACATATCCCCACAAGAAGAAATCACACACGGTGAGGTCTGGGGATCTCGCAGGCCAAGCAGGCCCCCTTCCGACCAATCCATCGCTGGGGCACCTTTTTATTTAAAAAAGCTCGGCCCATCAGGTGTCAATGGGGCGGTGCTCCATCTTGTTGAAAAGTGAATTCATGCGAATCTGCTTGCAGTGAAGTGAAGAGCCAGTTTTGGAGCATATCGAGACAGGTTTGTCCTCTAACGGTGTTTCCTTCAAAGAAAGAGGGACCATAAACCTTGTCCTGAGAAACAGCACAGAAGACGTTCACCTTAGGGGAATCTCTTTCGTGCTCGACTGTTTCATGTGGGTGCTCTGTTCCCCAAATACGCACATTGTGACGATTGACTGTGCCGCTCAAGTGAAAAGTCGCTTCGTCACTAAAAATTNCCTGGACTTTTTCCTTTACACACCCACCCACTCTCTTAAAACTATCGAAACCACCGTCGAATGTTCTTGGGACAGGGCGGATTAATGCCGAATCGCCTTCGAAAAGCACGCTGCACCGTGACAACCGGATTTGTTTTCGCGAACTCGAGAACGCAGAACGCCTTTTGCTGAGGACTCGCCATTCCGAGGGTAAACGAACAACTGAACGTTGCCGGAAGAACGACGCGACTTCAGCGCCCCTGTGGCAGCCATTCACAACTTAGATAACTCCTCTTTCAAATGGTCACTGACTCATTCCATGACGATGCTTGAGAACTGAAGCAATGCGTCATGAAATCGGTTCATTCTTTTTTAATAACCCTGTATTAAGCTCTATAAAATTATTAACGCGTGTGATGGTAATAAGAGTGTTATACCTGCAACACTATAAATTTATGAAGTGACTTTGCGAGTTCTACTCCAGTTGTTAATATATTTATTTATTTATTTGTTTATTTGACTTCGTTCAGACTAGTCCGGCCTCTGTGGTCTAGTTGTCAGGGTTCCTTGCTACAGATCCAGAGGTCCCGGTTTCAATTCCCGGCGCTACCAGATGTTCTGAGAAATAGTTGGTCTGGGACAGTGTCCATTCATCGTGGGGATAACTGAGGAGCTACTTGAATGGAAAAATAGCGGCTCCGGTTTAGAAAACCGAATCCGTTGAGCTGACCACGTGACACCATCTGCCAGCTAAAGTTGGCACTAACTTCGCTGACAAGCGGTAGTTGCTCGGTCGGCATAGTTCGCATGTGAACTATAGGCCACGGTGTAGTTTCAGCCTAGTCCGTCACACTAGTAATTCATTGTGTCCACAAAGTCGGGGTTTTGAAATTTGTGGCGCCCAGACAAATTGAGCTAGCTATATGCGGTTTGCGGAAGATCATAGTGAAACTCTGGAAGGTTTTTGCTGACCTCAGTAGACCTCGACATGGGCTCCCTTGGTAGCACGGAGAGCGTCCAGACGATATCCGAGCTCTTGCCATGTTCTGTGCAACATGTCCGCTGGAATAGCCGAGAGTGAATTCCTGATACGGGTCTTCAGGTCATGAAGTCCGTTAGCTGATGTTCGGGACACACTGCTCTTGGCATAACCCCACCTCATTTGGGTATGCAGGTACCCGCGTTCCTAGACTGACATTTCCAGGAAGATGGATCGGCAGAGACGGTCAAATGCCTTGGCCTCCACGTTCACCAGACATCACATCACACCACTGGATTTTTTCCTGTGGGGTTATGTCAAGAGCAGTGTGTTCCGAACATCAGTTAACGGACTTGATGAGCTGAAGACCCGCATCAGAAATTCAATCTCGGCTACACCGGCGGACCTGCTCCACAGAACATGGCAAGAGCTCGGATATCGTCTGGACGTTCTCCGTGCTACCACGGGAGCTCACAACGAGGTCTACTGAGGTGAGCAAAAAACTTCTAGAGTTTCACTGTGATCTGCCGCAAACCGCATATGGCTAATTCAATTTCTTAATTTGTTTGGGCGCCACAATTTTTCTAAACCCCGAAGGCACTTTGTGGACACACTGTAGTACAAAAATATCGCTCCGACCAAAATATGTAAAAGATGAAAGATTAAAAAAAACAACAGTTTTCAATCACACTGGGCGGCTATAATAATCTTTTATAATATTTGTTTATTTATTGTGAATTTTTATTAAATTGACGTGGAAGACATTCATAGTGGAGATTATCTCTCTTTGCGTCATTTTAAACTGACAGTAGAGACCCCAGCATTGATGGGACGAGAACGAATGTTCGTATTCTCTGACAGCAGATGCATGACTCAAATCATGCTTATATATACGTATACGTACTTTAACTCTACTATTCCAGCTCCTCTTTCTTCAGTTTCATCATTTCTATTTCTCTTAAACTTTGCCCTTTCCCAGTTCTGCTTTTTCACTTCTCCCTCATCATGCATGAGATGAATAATTCCTCATGCAAGATTCATGAACTGAATTGGGTGACGGGCTGTACCTCTTCCCTCCAAAACACGCACAGTAAAACTTTCAATATACTGAACTGGCAGTTCTTCACGAGTTTAGGCTTATGGTCAAGTGCTGTATATTTTTACTGACTTGTGAGACAACTCAGGTCGGCGCTCTGTGGCTTCCAGTTACTAATCAATTAACTGGACCTGTGATTGAAGCTAGCTCTTCCTACAGGATCCAACAGAGTAGGTGTCTTCCTTCACTTGAGGACGGAAACAGATCCAGTTTCCGAGACGTTGTGTTTTTCTTTTCTTAGTTATTCAGAACCCGGACGATGGATAAAGTCCGAAAACCCAGTATCTCTGTGTGTTATACACCACTGTCAGAACCCTATAGTATCTACAACTAACATCAATTTTACTGTCTGAACTCCCATCTTGTACATGTTAAAATTGGGTCAAGCATTCAAATAATTTCTTATTAAACAACTAAATTGTTGTAGAATATTTTAAAAAGAGTTCTGTTCTGGGAACGTTAAGTTATCAAACTGTAGTTTTGTTTTGGAGTGAAAATTTGGCTGTCATATTAAGGGAGGAACATAGACTGAGAATGTTTGAGAACAAGGTGCTGAGGAGAATGTTTGGACCAAAAAGACATGAAGTGACAGGAGGTTGAAGAAAACTGAATAATGAGGAGCTCCATGGCTTGAATTTTGCGCCACATTTAATAGGAACAGGATTTAAGAGAAATCGAATGGCGTTTTATCGACTGAATTCGTCTGAGTCAGGTTAGGGATCAGTGGAGAGCTCTTGTGAACACGGAAATGAACTCTCAGGTTCTATAATATTTTGAAAAATTATTGCGTAGGAGAACGACTGAAGGTTACTCGAGGACTCAGCTCCATGCGGTTAAGTGATTAAGTAGGACAACCGTACGGCACTCTTATTGAGCCTCTGATGCCTGAAACTAGTCTAAACTATATCTGAAAGTTAAGTTCATTCCACACACAAACAGACACACACACTGTGATGCAGTTACAAAAGCATGTCGGTTAATGCTCTTTAGGGAATTACTCACTCTTTATCCTAAGAATCATATTAAACCCGTAAAAGACCACTGTGGGTAAATGATTAATGTTAAAGCAGGCGCATAAAATATTTAATAAGGACATTGGAGCCGATATAGACTGCCAGCATATTGGAAGTGATCAAGTATTTAATTTAAACCCAGTTTTCTCGCTTTCTCTATCCGAATCTCCTTAAGAAAAACTACTTTGTGGGATAAGAAAATACTTTATTCTGTGTGTTTTATTGTTCTTCCCTTCCCTTCTCTTAGCTGATATCCCAGTCTCTCACTTTTCTCACTAGTCTCTTAGCTGATATCACAATCTCTCACTTTCTTCATTAGTCTCTTAGCTGATACCCTAGGCTTTCACTTCCCTCACTAGTTAGCTGATATCCCAATGTGTCACTTTCCTCATTAGTCTCTTAGCTGATCCCCCAGTTTTTCACTTTCCTCTTTGGTCTGTCAACGGATATCACAATCTCTCGCTTTCCTCACTAGTCTCTTAGCTGATATCACAATCTCTCACTTTTCTCACCAGTCTCTTAGCTGATATCCCAATCTCTCACTTTCCTCTTTAGTCTGTTATCTGATATCCCAATCTCTCACTTTCCTCATTAGTCTCTTAGCTGATCCCCCAGTTTTTCACTTTCCTCTTTGGTCTGTCAACGGATATCACAATCTCTCGCTTTCCTCACTAGTCCGTTAGCTGATATCACTGATATCAGTGTTGCAGCTGATGATACCGGTAATGATTCCATATTATTGTCAGGAGCAGGTGAAGGTAACAGTGTAGGGGTAATTTTAGTTTGGGACTGACCGCAAATCCGCACTCTCCCTACGTCGGTTATAATATTACTCCCAGGCTGTGAAATGTTAGGCCCTAGGGGTGTATATATAGGAGTGGGGTTTATGTTTGGGTACGTTCATTAACTTGCAACCCTTGTGGCAGTCAGTCATTACTGTGTGCCAGAGAGAGACAGAGGACAGGACTTAGTCATGCTGCCTCCTAGATCTGCAGGAGCATCACGGGACATGAATCTTCCTCACACTTGTCATCACCTACACACCGACCGTCAGTGGCGGCTAAAGACCAAATTACAAATAGATACCCTGATGAAGGAGTGATTTCAGTTTTTCACTTTATCTGTATGGAGAAATGTATCTATACTAATACATATATATATTTGCCTCAATCGTACACACCACACTATAACAAAACTCAAACCTTGTATTCAAAAACACAGCCTGCCAACTCAATTAATCTGCGAGCACTCACATTGTACTGCTTTAACATTTGGGTACTTGAAGACATGCACTGCACTGCACCGATCAGCTCCGGCCACTCCTCAACACTGAAACATCAAAAGGGGTATACCAGTCACCCCAACACAAACTAATGTACAACTTAAAGTTAATAATTTAACATGAATTATACGGGAGGCTATATGTTAAAATGAAGGGATGTTATAAAAACATGTAGGTGGGTCTGCGCGTGACTTACAGACGGGTTCTGTATTAACTAAATTGATTTATTGACACCTTAGACAACCAAATCGGGACTACAGAAAATGCAGTCCTCTCATTGATTACACACTTTCGAGCCAACGCAGTAGGTTTCTCAGTCTTCACTAGTCGTATCCTGGCAACGGAATTATAAGAGTCCCACTGTCACTTCAAATCTACATGAAACCTTTTTCACAACCTAATTCCTTTCTTATCAATATTCTGCAACTGCCAACTCAATTTAATTCCTCTGCTGCTAAGCTCATATCACGGCAGGCTGGCGCCTCGAAACTCGACTGACTCTTCTCAAGTTTAGCTTTACTTTATCACCACTTTACACTGAAAACGCAGGAAACACAGCATCTCTATTCTTTGGAAGGCTTGTACACAACGCCGTTGCATAGCAACAGAAGTTGCTCGACTGTTGCTTACGGTTTCGTTGCCACTTGGATGTTTACCTAGCCGTTGCGTAGCAATAAACATCTGTTCTGAATTCACTATTCCGGCTTTCGGGCGTCATGTCACAATATAAAAGTTTGTAGTAGCCACTTGTATAAAGCATTCCGAACTAAATAATAAACATAAGAGTCGGTACGTTGTAGAATTTATATATTTGTAATAAATAATGTTATTTTAAACGTATGTCTTCTTAAATTCAGTCGGATTTAACATAATGTAATTACTGTTATATCAATATTTTATTACATTACCAAATTAAAACAAATTTGTAACCCCAGTCCATATGCATTACTGCATTACAAAGCCGTGTATTTTCCATCTTCAAGGTAGAAGAAGGGTGTAGCGCCATTTACATTTGTAGGTAGGTGTCAGATTTTCGAAGGAACTTTCCGTCTCTATCTTCAGGGTAGGATATGCCCCCGTGTATTATGGTAAAGAGATGCCAGTATTTCCGAGGAACCTGCTTTCTCTATTTTCAAAGGTCTATTCGGCCTTGATGATGGAGGCAGCAAGTTCTTTGAAACACTGGTATATATCTAGCAAACTACTCTTACATGGCTTCATATCCGAGTAGACCTTAATCATCACACGCATTTCTATGAGAATCACAAATCTTCCATAAAAGTATGTTAAGGTCTGTTTGAATATGAGATTTGAGGTTTTGATTGCTATAATGATGTTAATGTGTTCTGGGATGTAACGCCGTATAGTCTGTCAAAATTTTACCGACGTTTCTGCTGTTTTAAAAGGTTAAACAAAATAACGGATGACATTTGTATGGAATAATAAATTACTTGAATTAGCTTAAATTCTACAATTGATCACAATGGAAAATCAACCCCCGTGGAACAAAGATTCCTACTGCCATTAACTCATTTTCTGGCTGATTATTTGAGCATAACTATTGCGTTGTTGTTCCTGTATAGCGACTGGGCTTGTAAATAAATAGATTCCCTATTTCCGAAAACGACATCACTGATATATACACGTAAACCATTATGCCTCCCGCTGCGAAATTTCATCAGACTCATAACAGATGTGATTTAGGTATATATGTGTGTGCGTGTGAAGCACTGAGAAATGTTATGTATACAGCACAACATATACAAACTAGTGTCACGTGAGTTGTGTTGACATGACGTCACATTTGTAATGAGGGTGGTGGTGTAGAGGCTGAACTCTAACGCCTCTATCACTTTCAGTAATACGAATAGAAGTGACGTCACCTAAACGTCGAAAAATCGTTCTATTTTATAGTCATTAATTCCATAATGCATTATGTAATCTAAACAAATATGAGCGTTGAATTTATATTTTGTAGGACATCTCCAAAAAATATCCCTTTCAGGATTTTCAGTTGTGACGGCTGCCATTCTTAAGATGGCGGTTCTGTAATATCTTCTTGCTGGGTAAGGCGGGTAAGGAACCCACTAATTGAAGACGAATTTCTATGCTCAACAATTATACTAAGTTTTTATTAAAAGAAGTAAAAGATGTAGATAGTATATACAGTGTGTATACAGTACAGATTTTCGAAGAAGTCTCCTCCTGTTTTTTTAATCTTACTGGTATTATATATTAAACTTTAAAAAGAGGGCCAAAGAGGGTGGGGGGAGTCATGAGTACAGAGTTTAAAGGTTCAGTTGTGTACGTGCAGCATCGCGCGTGGACGAACCAAAAAACTTGACTCTCTTCTCTTCAGCTTGGGGGAACATGTTATCGAAGTGTTAAAAGGTCAGGAGTTGATAACATGTATCAGGCTTGCGACAGACGGTTTCAACTCTCTTGGAGTACCCTCTTGGCTAACACAAAAATTACACATTAAAATAGTATGTAGTATGATCAAAAGTCTAAGTACATATTACAATATTACACTCCCCTTCTTCTTAAAAGTTTGGTTATATTGAACCAGACTTTTCCTCTCATTATCGGAAGTTTTTCTCGTTTAGACATAAGGGACGACGAAGGGATGCTGCAGGAGGTTGTAATCGTGTTTCTTCACTACCATCTTCTATCACTGGGGTCAAAGTACTGGGTTCACGAGCGGAATATGAGGGTGATGGAGGCGGAGAGGTGTGTGATGTTTTGCCATAGCGAATGCTCGGCTGCTTACCTTGTACATTTGTTATGTTAATACACAGGCGTTCACTAGTTTCTTTCCAACAAGTTTTTGGGGTCCATTTGTCCCAAATCTTAAACCAACATGTACGACAACTTTTACAACAGCAACAACAGCAGCAACATGAGAATACAACAAATACAATAAAACTCACAATTGCACTCCAAGAAGTGACATGAATATATCATTGCGAATAATCTTTCATTCTCTGTTCCTTAATCATCTGTTCCACCTCATTTACCTTGTGACTGGCCAGTCTGAGATCATCTGCAGATGCGAGTATATTACTTAAAGGTACTGACAAAGGTATTTCTTCAAACTCTTTCGCTTTTTCGAAGGTTAGGCAACAATTTAAGTCGAGGGGAATGGTAGGTACAAAATCTTGGGAAACATTTACAACATTTGTACTCATAGCATACAAGGTCACATAAGTGGTATAAGCTTTACATTGTTGTTGTAATGTCAATTTACCTTTTTGTCTTATTTCTACCTGCTTTGTGATATCATCACAAATAACAGAAAGTTTCTCAGGTTTCGGGGTTACAAAGAGCCATTGATTACTGAAGGATAAGGGTATCCAATAGGTCTTCGTTAGTCTTAACACTCTAATTTCACAGGTAGGGGGAATATTTTGTGATGAGGGATGAAGTAGAGTGGATTCACAATCATTTCCAGGTATATACGACAGTATTGGTATCTCTTCTTTACAAACTTTCTGTATAGGATTTGGGTGAAAACATCTAGTTAATTCATTAGTGGATAGTTTACCATACTGTCTTTTCAGAGAATCCATAAATATATAATCTTTCGAGGAATATTTAAAAGAAAAGACATTATCTTGTTTGAATGTAGGAAAAGGGGGTATTTTATATAGATGGAATAGTGTTGAGGAGAGCAAGGGTATGTCAAGTACATACACGAGAAATTGGTTGTGTGAATAGATATGAGGTACAATAATGTGCTGTAACTCTGAAAAAGGAAATGAAGGATAGTCAACTCCAGTAGGCAACTTTTGAGCTGTTACAACTGTTTTGATCTTCTCGGCAGTTACGAATTGCGGTTGAAACGTCCCTTGTTCTGCATGAATCAATGCATCTACTAAAATTTCATATCCATGCTGACATTCCATTAACCCTCGTTCTATAGTCTTAATTTGCATATTGGCCGTAGTCACTTGCTCTATTTCTTGTTGTAATTCAAGAGTGGCATTACTCACTTTTTTGTCTAATTTGATTAAGCTGTCCTTTAAAACTTTTTCATTTTGATTTATACGTCTCATTGTCAAATTCACTGAATTAACAGTAGATTTGATTACTGTCATCTGTTCGGAAGAAATATGTAAAAACTCTTGTTGTTCGCGTTCTAACTGATTAATGTGTGAATTGTACTCTCTTGCATCTGCTTGCGTCAAGGTTCCGAACAGAATCTTGGAAATTTCACCTACAAAGTCTAAAACCCCTCGCTTCCTTCGGTAAGATACATCTGTTTTCAGGTATTCTGCTACTAGGTCTTTCAAAGAATCAATGTAATAGACCTTTTTGTTAACATATGCTTTAAAAGAATTACAATCTGTCAGGTGGTACCAGGGAGCGCTTTCCAACCCATGGCAGTATTGCGAAACGCGTTTCTGGTGCTCTTTTACTTTTCTCCAGAGATCACGTGTCGGTTTCAAATCAATGTAACTTACAACCTTCCATGTCATGGGGTAGAATGAGATCTGGCCCACTTCGTCAAAATAAATACCTGTTTCAGATGTTATAACTTCTACAAGTTCAGGCTTTAAACACTCACAACAAAGGAAGAGACTAATTCCGACAATCCACAGACGAATTGTTTTCATCTTGTCCTTCCTGTGAACAAAAGGGTTTTACTAAATTTACATGTATGGTACGTTTCTTTCTCTTTCCTACTTGCTGTATCACTAAATTTGGTAACTGCACTTCTTTAATCTCATACGGCCCTTCCCATAGCGCATCTAACTTATGTCTCCTATGCTTATTTTGCACAAGCACTAGGTCATTAACTTGGAATGCTACTACATTCTTTTCAGGAACTCTCTCCTGCTGTTTCTCTTTAAATTTCTGTAAATTCTGTTGAGCTATGTGATGACTTTCTCGCATCCTATGTTTTATCACATGTATTAGATCGTCATAATTATACAAAGTACCCTTCTCACTAAGTTCACCGGGAAGATTACACTTTCTTCCAAACAATATCTCATAGGGAGAATATTTTGTTACTGAATGTGGGGTAGTATTGAAACAAAAACACGCAAAAGGTAACCATTGATGCCACGACATAGGTTGTTTTTCAACATAACTTCTTAAATAGGTTATCAACGTCCTATGCGTTCTTTCTAATGCGCCATTACTCTCAGGATGATAGATGCTAGTATGCAATTTCTCAATCTGGAAAAGTTGGCAAAGGCGCTTGAAAATATCTGACATGAAGTTGCTACCCTGATCAGTCACTATACTTTGAGGTAGCCCATAAATTAACAAAACATTCTCGAGAAACTTTTCACTAACCTCTTCGGCAGTTTGATCCCTTAATGGCACGGCAATTAAATACTTACTTAAATTATCCTGACAAGTTAGGATATATTTATGACCTTCTTCAGATGCAGGTAGAGGACCTACTACGTCTAAGTAGATCTTTTTCCAAGGTTCCGGTTGAGTATCAGTTATTCTTAATTTAAGTCTTAAATCCTTACCTTGTTTTACCCTTTGGCACACTTCGCAATTTCGGATGAACTGGATAACATCTTCCTGCATGTTTGGCCATGTAATATATAGCTTAATTCTTTCTAGTGTTCGTGAAATCCCTTGATGTCCTCCCACTAAATCAGAATGCATTTCTTTCAGAATTCTCAGTTTACGTTCTTTTGTCAGTTCTGTTTGTTCAAGAGTACAGACAGGATATCTGCTTAAACTGTCTGCATTGGTATTTTGTTTACCTGGTTTATACTTGATTTCAAACTCATATTCCTCAAGCAGTAAACGCCATCTTAAGAGCCTCGAACTGGGGTCTTTTACATTAAATATCCACGTTAATCCTTTATGATCAGTCCAAATTTGAAAGGGTTTTCCTAACAGGTACGGTCTAAAATGTTTACATGCCCAGACTATAGCTAAACATTCTTTTTCAACAGTACTATAATTTAATTCGGCTCCATTCAAAGTCCTACTGGCATAGGCAACCGGTCGATCCTTTCCTGGGGTTCCTTGGCTTAAAACTGCACCTAATGCATAGCCACTAGCATCAGTGGTTAAAATAAAAGGTTGGCTGAAATCAGGATATTGTAAAATAGGAAACTCAATTAACTTTTCTTTTAAGATCTCAAAACTTTCTTGTTCTAAATCGGTCCATTGCCATTCTTTTCCCTTCTTCAACATGTCTGTAAGAGGCTTTGCTAAAGAACTGAAACGTTCAACAAATTTTCTGTAATAGCCTACTAATCCTAAGAAAGCCTTTATATCTTTTTCCTTTTCAGGAACCGGGAATCGAACCACGGCCTCGATTTTCTTTGGGTCTGGCTTTACTCCTTCTGCCGTGATAACATGTCCAAGATATGCTAATTCTGGTTTTAAAAACTCACATTTATCAGGCTCTATTTTAATATGGTACTTCCTGAATTGGTCAAAAACTTCTCTCAGTTTTCTATGATGTTCCTCTAGTGTCCTACCAGTGACGAGGACGTCATCTATATACACTAAACATCTTTCTCCTATAGATTCCCTCAGAATAGAATTCATCATTCTCTGAAACGTAGCCGGTGCTGCTTTTAGTCCGAATGGCATCCGAACGTATTCGAAATGTCCTGTGGGTGTGCTAAAAGCAGTTTTGCACCTGTCTTCAGGTGTGATTAGGATCTGATGAAAACCTGATGCACAGTCTAATGCAGAAAAATATTTTGATTTTCCTATGTTATCGAGAATCTCTTGAATGTTAGGAAGCGGAAAACTATCCCCTAAAGTGATATCATTCAATTTACGAAAATCAACACAAATGCGCCATTTCTTTTTACCAGACGCGTCTAGCTTTTTGGGTACTACGATAAGAGGGAAATTCCATTCACTCTTACTCGGAACTACAATACCGTCTTCTAACATTTCTTTAACTTGTTTATTTACTTCTTCTTTGTGTGTTTCTGCTAATCTATAGTTTTTTAACGTGATGGCTCGACCTTTTGGGAAGTGCGGAGTAGGGATATGATGCATAGCAGCGGTGGTTGCTGTTAGCTTATCACCGTGTAATTTAAAAATGTCAACATATTCCTCACAAAGTTCTCTAATACTTTCTTCGCCTTCCTTTATATGTGTCAACCTTAATTTTTTGTTCAACTCGTCCAAACGTTGTTGTGAAAAAAGCTGTTCCTTGCTTAGCCTTTCAAACTTACATGGGGGTTTAATTAATTTCGGTAGGGGTAAGGTCATAATGGGTTCTGCTGTTAAGTTTACTATTAAACAGGAAACAAATTCACCATTGCATTCGCCTAAGGAAGTACCACAATAAACTCCAGGTAACAATTCTTGTTTCTCTATTAATCGGACACCTTTTTCTCTGGTTGGAATTTTCACAATACCCTCACTTAAAGGAGGTAAAGCAGGATTACGAGTCATCACATAACCATTTTCAATTAGCCATTTATGTCCTAAAATGACATCAACATTACGTGGTAGCTCATCCACGATATAAAATAAAAATGGTTTACTTTCGTTAATTTCCAAGTAAATGCCCTGTGTTAAACTTCTACAGCTTCCTGTTATTCCTTGCATTGTCACGGAGGTCTCGACAATATTTTCTTTTGGGAGTCTCTTTAAACTTTTCCTTCTTACTAAGGAAATCTGCGCGCCTGTATCTATTAAGCCAGTTCCCGCCTCTACTGTGAACTTGGGGCAAGTTACATAGAGCTCAAACGGGTTATGCCATCTCTGGGCGTCCCCTCCGAAGATTGGCATGTCAGAGCGTACACCATTTTGCATAAATGATATACCTCCCATCGCAGAGTTACTATCTACACAATTTTTCCTCCGCTTACTCTCTGCGACAAACCCAGTGTCCTCCGAAGAACCCAGGTCTTCATCAGCCTTTTGAGTGGGGGTGTCTCCACTCTCATCTGATGGCTCTCGGGCGTTCACCCTTCCTATGCAGCCTCTTGCACTGCAGGTGAACCCCGACTGCCGGATCCACCTCGTGGCCGGTTTCCCTGATAACACTGTGCCATCACATGTCCTCTTTTGCCGCACTTTGGACATTGCGATGCATTATTACAATTTCTTGCTATATGCCCTGGCTTCAAGCAATTATAGCAATTCTTAAGCGCAGAAGCGGCCATAACTTCTCGCTTTATAGAAGGTTCCTGACTCCCACCAGGATGACTTCTTCCTATTCTCTCTTGTTTTACGGGAAGGTTTCTTGGATACCATTGAGGGTTTTGTTGGGGATTTCTATATCTCTGAGACTTTAATTCACTCTCCTCTTGGATCGCTGTTTCAATAATCTGAGCTAAGGAATCATCCTCCCCTTTAGCTTTTACTATAACTCTGATTCGTTCATCTCTTAACCCCGAAATGAAAGTTCCTTTCAAAAATTCTCCAATTAATTTCAAACCCCCTTCAACATAATGTTCATTATCCTTATCCTCTAACACCAGGAGCCTATGTCTGGCTTCTGTCCGTAATTCCATGGCTAAATGATCTAACCTAGCTCCCCATTGTGCTACGGTTTCTGACGGTCCTTGTTTTGAAGAGAACAACAAGCCCGTATAATATTCTAATGTCCTCTTTACTAGGTAATTTTCCTCTAAAATGCCTTTAATTTGTCTCCAAGTGTTCCTTTCGACACGAGCTAACAATTTATCTTTCGCATCTCCTTGAATCTTTGCGACTACAAATTTTAACAACAACTCTTGTTTACTTGGATGAACCACTCCAATTGCGGCTTCTACCCCCTCAATAAATTCTCTTAATTGTTTTGGATTTCCCTCAAAAGGCCTTGGTATCAGTTTTATTGCTTGCATAACCGATATGAATGCCCCCTCTTCATTATCGGAACTTTCATCATCTGCCATGATGAAAACAGTTGCCTACTGTATGTTGTGACTAACCTTTTACAGAAAAGTAAGGTAGAGTAGCTCCAAGCGATGCAGTTCTCGGTTCGAGGCTCGTCCCTGGGGTTGCCTCTCGCCGTATCTCGCGGCACCAGCTGCAATGGGCGTGACTGCGACTTCCCTGGGGATATCGGGTCGTAGTGCGTCTCCAAAGCCTTGTTGCTACCAACTTAGCGAAGTTCTCCTCTCTGAATAGCGTTGCGCACCGCTTCCTCCTAGGCGTAGACTCTGGAGTAACTCCTGGCTTCTCGGACACCTCTCGAAGCAGGACTCCCTAGGTCCAGATGGTGTGAACTTCCAAATTGTTGAGCTTTAAACCAAACGTTTCTTGCGAATCGAATCCAGCTGTTGTCTTCAAAGATATCCCACTTCTGACACCATGTAATATCTTCTTGCTGGGTAAGGCGGGTAAGGAACCCACTAATTGAAGACGAATTTCTATGCTCAACAATTATACTAAGTTTTTATTAAAAGAAGTAAAAGATGTAGATAGTATATACAGTGTGTATACAGTACAAGTTTTTGAAGAAGTCTCGTCCTGTTTTTAATCTTACTGGTATTATATATTAAACTTTAAAAAGAGGGCCAAAGAGGGTGGGGGGAGTCATGAGTACAGAGTTTAAAGGTTCAGTTGTGTACGTGCAGCATCGCGCGTGGACGAACCAAAAAACTTGACTCTCTTCTCTTCAGCTTGGGGGAACATGTTATCGAAGTGTTAAAAGGTCAGGAGTTGATAACATGTATCAGGCTTGCGACAGACGGTTTCAACTCTCTTGGAGTACCCTCTTGGCTAACACAAAAATTACACATTAAAATAGTATGTAGTATGATCAAAAGTCTAAGTACATATTACAATATTACAGTTCTCTGTGGTGTGACGCAGTGTAGTCTGGTAAAATATATCCTGAAGATAGAGGGGCTGATATCTGTATACCAAAGTAGACTATATTCATATCCGATAAAATAGTAATTTTAATATTGGATTCATCGATCGAAAATTTCAATGAATCGTATTTCTTTATAGCTTCTGTATTTGTCGTTGAGACTTGGAAGGAAATACAGTTCAAGAAGGAGTGCTCTATTTGAGAAGCTAACAGCCATTCATCTGATCAAGACATCTGCCGCTTTTAGGTCCGAGTCCCATGGAATTCGTTCAAATCACTATGAAGTCTTCTTGTTATTTCGCCTTCAGTCACTCTGTACTCCTCTGTCCTCATCTGTATTCGGCTAATCTTCACAATTCACTAAGGACACGCCCCATTCTCGTCCTTGTATTCTCAACTGCTAAACCCTCCTGGACTCTTTTTCGTGACGGATTCATGTCCTTGACTCACAGCTTCTCAGCTATGACTGACTGTAAACGACCTTCACTGTCCCCCATAATCCTTCGGAAAGGACCCCACAGAAAAAACCTATTATTGTAGACGTGTTAACAGTTCTGTTGCTTAACACTGAGCATGGCGCGTACCACATTGAAAACCAGTCACATGACAGCTATCTCGCCCGTCCATTGGCGCGCTGATTGTTGCCTAGCAATGAGCTATAAGCATTTCTCTTATTTTTGCGTGACCTAGCAACGGACTGTTTACCAAAAATTTGTTTTCGTTGGAACCTATTTACCAACCCGTTTCCTAGCAATGGGTGTATATATAACGGTATTAATGTTTCCAATTTTTACGTCAGGACTGGATTGATTAATATCTTCTTTAATATAATTTTAATTTTCCACGGAAGTACATGCGATTTTAATTGGTTCTTTAAACCATAAAATATTTATTATCTCTTAAAATCCTTTTGTTAATTTCCTGATTAATATCCTTATTACAAGTGACAGGGAGCATGTAGACCAATTTCTAGACAACGCCGGAAATGCACACATGCAACAATAGAAAAGGTATAGTAAGAACTGCTTTCTGTGTGGTCCGCGCCATGCCCAGTTCTAGGTAACAGGCCAATAAACACGTGACACGTGTTTCCCGTGGGTCCGCCTCGAGGCCTTATAAAGCTGCATTCCAAGTGAGCTGGCAGCTGTAGGAGCAGTCAGCTGTAGAAAGAGAAGGAAAACGGTTCCGCTGTGGATTTACTGTGAGCTGTTGTAAGTTGATGGTGATTAAGAGTGACTGTAAGAGAAGAGTCAATAAATCCAATCATCCAATCCAGAACCCGTAATATTAGTCACGGAGCCATCAATACGTGACAACATGTAAACATCTCTACTAGTCCAACGTATAGGTCCTTGTATTACTGTAACATTATTTTACTCGTATTATAGGATCAACCTTGAGTACGTTAAGACCTACATTTTTCTTTACATGTTCGGTACTCCAATTTTTGTATACCCTGTGCTTTTCTTTATTTATCAATGATTCTATAATTAGAGAATGGTGACCATAAAGCCGACCTGATGTAAGGGGACTGAGTTTTAACTCTAAAATCTGTTTATTTATGTGGGTAAATTACGGTGAATATACGAATACAGTACGTCAGAGACGAGCAGTCTAACTTCTGATTATAATTAATATATAATGTATTGCTGCATAACGAATTGATACTTCACCAAATCTAGATTTTAACCTGGGTGTCATAGGAAAGTTAGTCAGATGGTCACGTGATGCCAGACACACAATTCAAGCCCGCAAATATTTAAACATTCGAATTCATTAATAAAGCTTGGGCCCTTTTATTATTATTCAGAAGTAATCACCTCGATGTACTATCCTGGTCATGAATGACGTAATCAAAATGTAAATTACTGTGAAACTTTAATCATAGCTTATATATTCTGACTAAATTCACTAAAGTAAACAGAGTGCCTTTTAAATAAATAAACTGAAACCCTAGAGCACTTTTTAAATATTACAGAGGATACAGGTTTAAATTTGAAATTTTGTTTGCTTTGAAGGGATAAAAAGGAGCCGGGGTAGCGTACTCGGTATAGCGACTGGCTACGGGCTGAACGACCGAGGGATCGGAGTTCGAGTCCCGGTGGGGACAAGAACTTTGTCTTCTCCAAGTCGTCCAGACTGGCTCTGGGGTCTACCCACTCTTCTATCCAATGGATTAAAGCTGCAGGAGCTTGAAGCTAACCACTCACCTCCAACTAGTGCCAAGTTAAAAAAATGTGGATCTATGCATTCACTCCCCCATACGCCTTCATGGGGTAGTTCTTAGTTAGTTAAGCACAGGGACAGCTTTACCTCCTTTTTTTTTTTTATTGCTAGTGGAGTGGGACTAGGTCCCTTGTACTGCGGCCACTTCTGGCCTATTGTAACAGCCCCAGATGATAGGTGAGGGTGATTGTGGAGCAATTGGTGGAATGAAGATTGACAGGGGAAACCGAAGTACCCGGAGAAAACCTGCCCCAGCTGCACTTTGTCCCCACGGCCATAGTGCCACTGGAAGGATTAAGTCAATTGAAAAAATCCAGTGACCTCATTGGGACTCGAACCCGCAACCTTCCGGCTTGTAACACAGTTCCTCAACCAACTACGCTACCGCGTAATACTTAAATATTCATTTGCACTTGACAGAAACTTGTCGCGCCTGCAACAGAGAGACCAATCGTTTGGTGCTCTAGGGAAATATTCGCTGTTGATTGTGAGAATTAGAAAAAGCCCCACATATACATTTTGTGGAACATTGTTAAAGTTATGGGAGTGGAATACATAGCAACAGCTGTGCTTTAGAGGGCTAAATAACCACATAGAGTGGAGTCCTTCTCGAGGAGCTTTCTAACGTTAGTCCAGAAATCGCTGATATTTTTGTAACTCGAATTCTGATCACTGTGTTCTCAGTAGTCCACTGCTGGCCTGTCAATGTTCTAACACCATATTACATCACGCACACTTTAATATTATACTACTCTGAACGACATCTTCCTTTAGACTACAAGTTTTCTGTACTTACAAATATAAATATGGCAACTTGGGGATTGAAAGCTGCCAGGCAAGGGCGCTGAAACTAATTCGCTTCGCCGCCATATTTGGAATCATTTTAATGCTGTCGTAATCTCTTGTTGAAATTTTCTATTTGTAGCTTAAAGGAGAACGGGAAGGAAGGGGGAAAAAATTGATGTAGTCAGGAAGGGAAAGCGATGTGAGGAGGAGGTGGGAAGGAAGTACAGATACAGATGTGTCTGTTATAATTACGCTTGCGTATTCAACAGGCATTACCTTCATAAGTTAACAATTATATAGTTGAAGTAGGATACAGACCGTGACGTCGAGTTTCGCAGTAACCATCGCCATGCGCTCTACCCCTCTCGCATCTCAGGGATCGGGGCTCTCGGAACCGCCTGTACTTTGAAAAAAAGAATTTGTCATATCTCAAATCTCGCTGCTTTCTCCACCGAATAATCTTCATTAAAATATTCTTATATAGTCCGGTCTAGAAAACCGAAATAAACGGCCCTGTGGATCCCTTGCGCTGACCATGTAAAATTCTCTATCCGCTAAAAGTTGGCACTAACTTCGCCGACAAGCGGCGGTCGCTCGGTCGGTATAGTTTGCTTGCGGACTACAGGCCACGGAGTTTTTTTCTTATTATATGGCGTTGCTGCTATCTAGAGGTAACATTTAGACAAGTGTCGGGACCGCAGGTATATTCCATTGTCATTCATTGGTGTCATCATCTGCTCTTGTCCTTAACTACTATCACGTCTGGCTGCTGAGAGACGTGCGGTGGGTAGCAAGTTAAGTTGTGCCTGTTCTTTGCAGGCGTATAGGGTTGAGGGGGTATATCTCAGTACTAGGTGGAAGCGAATGGTCGATTTTACGACCCGGCCACCTTACTCCCGGGGAAAGAGCCCCTCGTGCCCCAGAGTCCGTCAGGAAGCTGTAGAGAAGAGAAAAATCGTCACCCTGCCAGGATTCGAACACCAGCCATCCAGCCCGCAATCTATCGCTATACCGAATGAACAATCCCGACTCCTACTCTACATTAGTAGAATATGAACTCTTGGATTTCCGGTTCTGTATTCCTCATATTATGCTACAAGACTGAAGGTCGCGGGTTCGAAACCCGATGAGGTCATTGGATTTTTCAGTTGACATAATCCTTCCAGCCGCAGTATGTACCAGAAATATTATTTGAATGTTCTTGGGGGTAAAGGGCGGCCGGCACGTTGGGCTGACAACCTTACCGCCATCCTTGAGCCGATTGTCTGAAGAAAATGTAGGAGCCTCAACATCTCACAACCCACGGCCTGTTACAGGGATAGCTTTGCTCTTACTAGCCCGCAGTGCCCAAGTGTAACGAAGTGACTGTGTCGTGTGCAGATGCGGTGACGTCTAGCCCACATCACCCAGTGCAGTTCGCGAGGTGCCATTCTGTTCTGGCTGTCTTCTGTTTCAATAAATTTATGATGCTTTAGAACGTTATTAGCAATAAACTGATATACAGAAGGAACGGGGATGAAACCATTCATCTGGCTGCCCTCAATTCCCTCCGTCTGATCTTCCTTGACCCCCCCCCCCACACCTTCATTTTACCGAACCAACGAGGTTAACGGTTTGTAACCGATGATAGGGA